CATTGCATTTTATATAATTATTTAGTATTGATCTGTGTCTATTATCACCATCTTTTTAAGTCCCCGTCGAATCTTTCCTGTTCTTTGACCTCCTCCTCTCCCTTTCCTCCTCCTGCTGTCCCCTGCTATCTTAGTGATTTTCTGTCCTTCCCTTTTATCTGACCCTCCTTATCCCTTTTTCTTTTTAAACATGTACACATATCTTGGCCAGTAATGCAGTATTTGTCCTTATGTGACTGTGTTATTTCCCTCAGCATAATGCTGTCTAGACTCTCCCATGTTATATAGTATTTCAGGAAGTCAATGTTGTTCTGCATAGTACTACATTGTGTGGATGTACCATAATTTCTCAAACCATTCATTTGTTGATGGTCAATTGATCTGTGTCAATTTTATTGTTGTTTTTGCTGTTGCTATGAACATAGGTGCACATATCTCCATTTATATTTCAGTTCTTATTTCCTTGTGATATATTCCTTGTAGTGGAATAGCTGAATCATATGAGATCTCTGTGTTCTGATATTTGAGGAAATGCCAAACTGCCTTCTATGGTAGTTATATCATTTTACAATCCCACCAGCAGTGTTCCAATCTTCTTTCAACCAGGAGAGAATAAAATAGATGAATGGGATCTTCAAAGAGTCAAATCCCTATGCACATAAAAAAAATTTTCCAACAGGGTAAAAGGGAAAGCCACAGACTGGGGAAAAAAATTTGTTAATGACATGTCTTATAAGGAACTTATATCTAGAACTTATACAATACTCTAGCACCTCAACAAGATAAAGGTATTCAACCCAGTCGCAAAATGGGCACAAGATATGAACAGACAATTCAGATGGCGAACAAACACATAAAGAAATGTCCCTGACTCTAAGAGATGCAAATCAAACAACTATGAGATATCATCTCACCCCAGAAACAATAGCAATGTTCAACAGACCAGCAAACAACAAATGATGGCAAGGTTGTGGCAAAATTGGAACCCTTATTCATTGTTGGTGGGAGTGTCAAATGGAGTAGCCACTATGGAAGGCAGTCTGACACTTTCTCAAAAAGTAGCAAATAGAAATACCACTTGACCCAGCAATTGCACTACCAGGAATATACCCTAAAGAAACCAGAACTGCCACCCAAACAGATATATGCACACTTATATTTATTGCTACATTGTTCACAATAGCAGAGAGATAGAAGCAACCAAAGTGCCTATCAACAAATGAATGGATAGAGAAGATGTGGCATATTCACACAATGGAATACTATGCAGCACGGAAGAACAAGGAACTCAAAATATTGTACAGAATGGGTGACCAAGGAGGACATTATGTTGAGTGAAATATCTCAGTCACAAAAGGACAAATACTACATAATGCCACTGTTATAAAACAGGACTGACATAGGGGTTGGGTGGAAGCTAAGAAAAGAGGGGATAAATAATGAACACTGCATTTAAATAGATGAGGGAAAGAACTGTCTAAAAGAAATATATGATTAGGTATAGTTTGCATGACAACAGTCCAGAATAAGAGATGCATAAAAAAGTGGACTGGGGGTGAATGAGAGGGAGGGAAATGTGCAAAAATGAAAAAAAAAATTATTATTAATTTTAATGAAAATTTACAGACTTTGGATTTCCATTCCTTCATTATTGCACCTTTCTCCCTGCCCCCTCCTGCAGTACACTCTTCTCTTTGAAAAGTAAAAGAAAAATTCTTTCATTGTTTTATAATTTCCCCCCCCCCCAGGTCCACCCCACTATGCAGCCTTCATTCTGGACTCCTGTCATTACAGTGATACCTAATCACATACCCCTTTTAAAGAGTTTTCTCCCTCATCTGTTTCAATACAGTAAACATTATTTATCCCATCTTTCTCAGTCTCCCTCTAACCCTGATGTCTGTCTTGTTTTACAACAGTGACACTATGCAGTATTTGTCCTTTTATGACTGAGACACTTCTCTCAGCATAATGTCCTCCAGGGTCACCCATTTTGAATAATATTTCATGAGTTCCTTGTTTTTCAATGCAACTTAGTACTCCATTGTGTGAATATACCACAGCTTCTCTATCCATTCTTTTGTTGATGGGCGCTTAGGTTTTTCCCTTGCTATGGTGAACAAAGCCACGATAAACATGAGTATGCGTGTATCTGCTTGGGTGGCAGTTATGGTGTCTTTGGGGTATATTCCCAGTAGTGGAATTACTGGGTCAAATGGTATTTCTATTTGCAACTTTTTGAGAAAGCACCACACTGCCTTCCACAGTGGTTGCAATGTGAAAGAATTTTCGTAAAGGGAAAAGTGAACTGGGGGGAGTAGGGAGGAAATGTGCAACAGTGAATAACTAGAAATCTAAATTTTCTGTAAACTTTTGTTAAAATATCAATAAAAAATAACAAAATTTGAAAAATTATTTTTAAAAAAAGTTACAATCTTTCAACATCCACTTGAACATTTATTGTTTCCTGTGTTGTTAAACTTTGTTGCTGCTGCTAGGGCAAAATAGTTTCTCACTGTTTTTTCTTTTTTATAATTTTAATGAACATTTACAGAGAATTTGGATTTTCCTCATTGTTATTTTGATTTGCATCTCTCTGAGTGCTAGTGATTTTGAATGTGTCTTCATGTGTTTGATAGCTATCCAAATGTCCTTTTTGAAGATTCTTTCCCTATCTTTTTCCTGTTTTGATTGGTTTATCAGCCTTTTCTTGGGGAGGCACTATAGTATTCCATAAATTTTAGTTATGAGACCCTTGTCTAAGATGTCATTGCCAGTTGTTTTTCCCAGTCATGTCCCCTTCATTTTATCGAAGAGAGAGATGACAACTTCTGTGTCAAAGCTAAGTGAATGGCAGGATGTACTCACTCACTGCCTTTGGCTTGTATTGTTTTAAAATTCTTCTGTTCTAATTTCACTCAGGAAACAATTTTGTTCATGAGTTGAAGTAGATGAATCATATTGGTTAAGACTGTATGTAAACACTAAAATCAGTTGACCTTAGTTAAAATCCTGCCTTCATAATGCTCTACAGACAAGCAGCTGTGGTACATATAACAATTGCTTTATGTAAAACTGTGGTACTTTTGTCCTAATGTTATAAATTAATTTAATTAATATGTAGTAATATATAGGTGATTGTTAATGAATATGAAGTTAAAATATTGTCAAATGCTTAGAATAGTTCATAACTTAAGAAAATAATTTATAAATGTTGATATTATTATTTTTATTATTATTTGATTATGTGTGCATTGTGAAGAGTCCTTTATCTGAAAAGTTTAAGAAAAATGTTCTTAAGATTTTTGCTAGAACCACTTCATTACTATAAAGTCAAATTTATCCCAAAATTATTACCTCTTGGAGTTCCTATTGCATCATTGTTTTCTTCATCCCTTACCCTTATTCCCTTTTTCTCTCTCCTCCTCCACTTAAACTCTTCCCCCACTCTTTGTTACATACCACACAATTCTTCGTGGGTTTTTTCACCATTGGTGGCCTGTGGGTAAGAAGTTGTGGTATAAAAGGCAGGACGTTTGAATCCACCACTTGCTTTGGGGGGAGAAAGATGAGCAATCTTCTTACATCCAGGTTTACAGCCTCTGAATACCTGCTGGAGCATCAGCTATGAGTCAGTCTGACTTGATAATAATGGGATGATGATAATTTTTAATATTATTAGAACAGAAGAGAATAATGAAGATTCCCTTAAAGTAATGCACATGGGATCTAGTTAGTATAAGGTTTAATTTTGCATTTCAAAGTAACATGTATAGAACCATTTCTCAGTTACAGAGAACATAAAAGTAGAAAAAGAGCTATAGCTGTTACTGTGCAGAGAGACTCAAGATTTCTTTTTTTTTTACTAAGAAGTAACGAGGGACTCTTTAAAAATGTTTCTTGGAGACTTCAGAGACGAAGTTGTTATTTCCTCCCCTAAGTAATTAGCTCATTAATTTTTGCTTTGTTAGCTTAATTAAACTGTTTTTGTTTGTATTTATAATGCCATTTAGTTCTTACATAACAATGCTTAAAACTTTAAGAATTCCTGGAAAGTGTTCCTAGCCTGAATGATAGCAGAATTATAGAATTGTAATCTTCATAGGAAAAGAAATACCACATTTTAAATTAGTTGCCTTAAATTACAGTGCTTTGCATAAGTAGCAAGCTTTTTACAATGACATCTGTTTCTGTTTTGTGCATCAAATAAATTCCTAAGTCATCATTAATTTGGCTTAATTCTTCTAAGTTACCTCTCTATCTGTGAACATAGAAATACTTTTTAACAAACAGAAATACTTTTTCTCCTACCACCATCACCATCAAGTATCACTTCATCCAGCCCTTCAATGTATATTTCAATTGCTATTCATTATTTTAAACCATTTTATAACTATGAATTCTACTTGTTAAAGTTACACATTGAATAAGAAAAATTGATGCCTTTGAATAGTGGTGTTTGTGAAGAATATTGAATGTATGGCAGACTACCAAAAGAATAAACTAATCTGCCTTGAAAGAAGTGCAGCCAGGGTGCTCTTTAGAAGTAAAGATGGCGAGACATTTTCTCGCATACTTGAGGCATATTTCCAGGAAGAGCCAGTCCTGGAAAAGGACATCCTACTTGGAAGAGCAGAGGGTCACTGAAGGAGAGGAAAGCTCTCAATGAACTGGATTAATAGCAACAGTGAGCTTAAGCACAGCAGAGGTTGCAAGAAGAGTTCAGAATCAAGCCAGGTTTTATTGTGTCGTATATCAGGTAGCTATGAGTGGACATCACTGTAAAGCACCTAACAGTAACACCTTTAAAACCAACTATGGAATTATCTCTCATTGTTTTCTGAGCTCATTGTTTCCTCATATTAACTTTTCCTCCAATCTTATTTCTTTCAAAAAGCCCTCTTGTCCAGTTTTAGAAGTATGGACATCTTGCGGCAATTTCTAACTTGATCCGAATGACCCTTTGAGAATCTAGTCATCTTTTCTTTGTTTGTTGACAGGGGCCTTGTATATGACAGCCGGAATAACCTGCAGTTGAGGGGCTTGGTGGTGCTACTTATTTCTAAAGCGGCTGGGCCCAGCAGTGTGGATGAGTCATGTCAGAACTATGACATGGTCAGTGGGATCTATTCATGGTAAGAAAAAAATTCTACTTTGACATTGTGCTATAAATTGTTTTCATTTATCATTATTATCAGTAGAAATAACTGTGCAACTTTTTATCCCTCTCTGATTCAAAGAGAAATGAAAATATTTTGTTAAGACTTTTTATTGTTGCCTATAAGTCTGGAAACAATTTGTGGTCGTGCAGTGGTTTAAGTAGTTAAAGTGGCCAGTAGCTAACCAAAAAGTTAACAGTTAAAACCACCATCCAGAGGATTATATTGTGGCAGTCCACTTGCTGAGAGATACGCAGTCTTGGAAACACTGCATGGTTCATTCTTGGCCATCCTATAGGGTTGCTGTGAGTCTGAATTTCAGGCTCAGTGGCACTGAATGTTGGTTATTTTGGTTGCAAGTCAGCTTCATACATAAATAATATTTTATTATTTTTTGAAGGTTTGACATTTTAATATTTTTAGCAAATAGTGAGAACCCACAGACACACTCCATCTGGAAGAACTTAAAACAGTGTTAAGATTAAAGAATTATTATTTTATCTTTTAAGGAGATAAAATATTAATCATTTTAGCTCTTCAAAATAGTATCAAATAATTTTGTTTCTGTTTTAGATATTTAAAACTTTATCAGCACTTTGCCTAGTAATGGTATGATTTTCTTTAGAAATCCTGATGTTGTTTTAAGTTGTTGATTCTATTCACTTTTATGATGAAAAAGTTTTTCACTGAAGTTATTTAAATAAGAAAATTTTACACCTTATATATTTAGATTAAAATAAATTTATGAGTATGTATTGGTCTTTTTGTTGCTTAAAAACAACCTTAAAATTTTCCATTTTCTTTAAAAAACCCCATATATATTTTTAGTGTTACTGCAATAGTTTTCTATAATCCTGACAGTATGTTTGCCTCTGTAGTACAAGCTTATATAGAAGTAACCATCTGCAGGTAGAATTTGGCATGAAGAAGAGCATTTTCAGTATTATTGTACATGAAAACATAGGTAAAAAACAATTTTTGCTCACAAAACAAGCATTCATAGAAACTTTGTTTTCTGGCTAATTGACCTTGTTGATTTACTTAAAAACCATCCAACATCATGATTTTTTTTTTAATTCCTAGTGAGTTTATCCAAAAAGTTTTTTAAAAACCTACAGTATTCAGAGAATCATGCAAAGAAAATTATTGTCATGGCTACAAATATCCTCCCACCTCAAGCCATTTCTACCCTTTACCCATATTAGTATTAGACAGAAAGGGGTATCTTGACGTCACTTTCAATTTTTCATCACTTGAAATAATTTCCATTTCTTTTAAAATGACTGATTGTCTTTATGATGGTGTGTCATTCATTGACCCTTACAATAGTACTTTAAGGTAAGAGTTGTTGATATACTTATTTTGCTCTTCAGAATGAGGAGTCTTAAACATTTTGAGGCTTCTTCAAGGTAATACAGCTGGCAAAAGGGACAAGATGAAGCTCTAACTACAGTTCTCTTGACTTCATATTACTTAAACTTCTTGATTCCATTCTACTTTTCTAGACTGTTTCACTTGTAACCTGACACTTGTAAATGAGAATCACCATTATTATTTGTATGTCAGGAAAAGGTCTTAATTCTTCTTGTAAAATATGTCTTGAAAAACTTATGAATAAATAGCAGCCTGGCAAATCTTCTTTAAATATGTCTGTATCTTTTCTCAAATCTATTTGAATTGGAGCTCAAAATGTTCCCTTATAATTTTTTTATATTGGTTTGTATACAAAATTCTTATACATTGTGTTTCACACATTCCTTCATCCGCATTGTGTTTCATAACATCATTCTCAAATGTTGCATTTTATAAAACCAATCACCATTGATCTATGCCCATTATCACCCCATCATTTCAAGTCTCCATAGATCTTTCATAATTCCTAACTCTTGGTTGAATATAGTTAAGCTAGCTAGAGAAAATACATAAAACCTAATAACCCATTAAAGACTCATTACTGCGTAGTCCTGACTCAGCAATCCTCCATTGGGTTTCTGAGGCTGCACATCTTAACAGAAGGTAACTAGTTGTTCTTTCTACAGTGAAGCTCTACACAGCCTTTGGTTAGCAGTGTTGCATGAGACTGTAACCAACCCCTAACTAACCCTCTGGCAGATTGTCAGAGTCAGTTAATCCCAGGGGAGGAGATTGTCCATCTTCTGTAGAGCATCTGCTGGTGGATTTGAACTGTGTGCTTTCAGGATTGCAGTGCAGCTTCTTACCACTAGGCCACCAGAGCTCCCTCTGGTTCCCTGTTAGTTTCTGAAAATGGACCTGAGACTACTTTGAATCCCATTTGTCTATTTGATTTTAGAAATCACATTAAATTTCATTTAGCTAATTTAACACCTTATTATTGACCTTCATCTACTTTTACATTTAGATAAACAGAGGCACACCATTAGAATACCAGCTGTATTTTACTGTGCTGCCAGTGCAAAGGTACGTGGTTTGAATCCACCAGCTGCTCCATGAGAGATGAATAGTCTGCACCTGTGTAATTTACTGCCTCTGAAAACATGAGAGAGTCAGCTATGAGTCACTTCCAACTCAATAGACCTGAACAATAACAATCCTAAAACAACTTAGGAAAGTACTGCCTGGTCTATAGTGGTTGCTTAGCAATTATTTTTTGCATACATGAATGCTCCTCATTTTACATATCAGGAAACCAATACTGAGGTTAAGATTTTCCTAAAATCCTTTTGTAGAAGGTGTTAAAGTTGGAATTTAAATCTAAACTTTAAAGTTTGTACCATATTTGCTATGAATTAGTTATTGTCTATATGAACACTGTACAGTGTGTTGTGATCCTATAGTTCTAATTTCTGAATTGTTCTCTAAGAAGTAATTGCATTGCCTCTTGGGCCTGCCTAAAAACATAATGCATTTTGTAGATGTTTATTGTAATCTGAGGAATTGTAAAGAACTTCGCAAATGTACAGGTATACATTATGAACATAAACACTTCTAAATGACACAAGGGAATTTTATATACCCAGATGTGTAAAATACCCCATAATAATGAGGGGCTAATCCTGGTGTGGTTCCAGGCTGTTTTCTGTAATCGGGCTTAATCTAATAAGTCATTGGTGTTTCTTGGATATTTTATACATTTCTTAATGTAGAAAAGTAATTTGTACAGTACAGTGCTATATATGAAGCCATTAATTTGGTTCTCAACCCCTGAAGACATTTGTTTGGCTTCTGCTTCCTTAATTGTTCAAGTGTAACTTTTGCTGGAGGCTTATATCTATAATGCCACAGTGAATTATTTAACATTTGAGAGAAATGCTGATTTGGGAGCTTTTTAAATTTTCCTCCAAACTACTGGGATTTATATTGTTTCTGTTTTTCTCTCATAAACTTGACTTTAATACCAGATGAAACCTGAGTAAATTACCTAGGGGACCAGAAGGGAGTAAGGTGACCTCTTTTGTTTGGCCTAAGGATATAACTGGTGTTTATGGATGCACCTCGTGAACTTTTTACATAATGGCAAAGAGGGGACACAATTTAGGCTAAAGTGTAATAGCTGCATTTTGGAAAAATAGCCAGGAGATCCACATTTATAAAACTATCTACTGGCTTTTACCTGCAAGAGTGTAAGTTTTGGGGGTGGGGGGGACTGTAGAACAACGAAAGAAGTTTTTTTCCAAAGAAAAACGTGAACTGGGTGGAGGGGGAGGGGCAAGGGGAAAGGGAGGAAAATGTGTAACAACAAATGAATAGAAATCCAATTTCTTTATAAACTTTAATTAAAATCTTAAAAAAAAAAGAGAGTGTAAGTTTTTTGGTTCATACAACCAACCTTGGCTTTTAATATTTGGTTGCAGTGGGGAACAAATTAATGTTAATCAATTTATAAGTATCCTTAACTAAAACTGAGAAAATAAGTTTACAAACTCCCATTCTATTATATTTTATTTTATTTTCTGTATAATAGATAGTTACATAATATTTCAAATTATAGCATTTTCTAATATAATTAAAGAAATCCAGTTGAGTACTTAATATTTTACTGATAGTTTTGCTTTTATGGTTATTACAGCAGGAACTGATTCAAGTATCTCATACCAAACTAGCAGTTGTTAACAGACTTCAAATTTAATTTATTATTATATATCATTTCCTGAAATTTCCTCCTCTCCTTTTACTTCAGTTTAAGAGATTCAGAATTTACCAAACAAATTTCTTTTCTTCCTCAGTACTCAAGGAAACGGCATTCCTTACCCTCTCTGACAGTAGACTCTGACAGTGTGACTGAGATTTGACCAATAAAGGTGATACCATTTCCTGACATTAAAATTCTTAAATTGGCAAATACTCATTGAACAGATGACCTCAGAAGCTACCTATCTAAGATGAAAAATTTATACCTGAATGAGTCTTAGAATGGCACCTGATCACCAGAACATATTTGTAGACTTTATATGTAAGACAAAATACCTATTTGTTAAGCCACTTGAATTTGGAAGTTTATCTGTTATGGTTGTTGTTTTTGTTGTTGTGTGCCAACTCATAGTGACCCTATGAAGAATGACTCTGAGCTTTGCCTTATTCCGAGCCAATTCACTGTCTCCAACACACCTGACTTTATTGCCACAATCACTGGTCTCATCCAGGATCTTCCTGTGCTGTGCTGATCCTTCACCTTTCCAAACATGATGTCCTTATCCAAGGACTGATCTTTCCTGGCAACATGCCAAGATGAAGTTTCAAAATCCTTGCCTCCAATGAGCATCCTGGTTTCACCCTCTCTGAGGCAGACCTGTTTGTTCTCTTGGCAATTCATGATATGTTCAATACTTTGCTGCATCACCACAGCTTAAAGGCATCAATTCTTCTGTGATACTTATTCATTGTCCAGCTCCCACATGCATAGCAAGCAATTGAGAAGACCATCATTTGGAACAGGCTCACCTTAGTGTTTAGATTGATAGCATTGCTCATTAGCTTTCTAGAGTGGTCCTTGACAG